AACTAGGTCAACCCGTCAGCAAAAGTTAATAAATCGGAAAAACTATCATCATGTGTGACATGGGTGTTTGTCACACGCGTGGTTTTGGATTTATTAAGATGTCCAGAAGGCCATTTAGTGGCAATTTACTTGATTTCTTCATTAGGGAAGCTGAAGTATGGTTGACCTGTTTGTATCCATAGCAGTCTCAAACCGAAGAAATGGGGAAAAAACGTGAGGAAGGGGGAAAGAGTGTTGAAGAGCTAATGGTAAACGAAATGGGAGGTAGGGCGAAAACGCTGTGAAATACCAGCGTTGTCCGCACAACCGCTATTTCGCTACGGCTTCTGTATTCTTTCCCCTTTTTCTGGTTTATATTTGCTGAATAATTCCAGTTGTACATAAGCCAGGACAATTACCACGTACGCATATTCTGCGAATAATAAGACAATTAGTAAGAAAGAGGTAAGTCGTACTTACTTCGACACATGATACATACAGCGTTTTTGCGGCTATCAACTTTACAAAAGCTTGTCCGGATCGGTTTTTTTCGAGCAACATGGGCCACCTGTGTGATTGAAAGACAAATAATTGCCTCCGATCTCCGTGTGCACATCACGTAATTAAAAATTAACCTGCTACTTAAAAAGGACTAAAGGCATTTATATACACTAGCGTTACCAGTCACTTACTACGCTTCTTTTGCAACGGAGAAGCTTGTTTTTCTTGTCGCCCAGGTCGTGAAAATATGCCTTCGTTGTTTTACCCAGTATATTTTCCAAGTCATTCTCACACAAAGTGCTTGACATGAAAGGGACACTAATTCTCAACAGCCATCCTTTAGAATGGATTAAGAGTCTATAATTACTGGTAAGAGGAGTGGTAATGTTGGTGGTGATTACAACATACAACTCGATAGACACAGGGGTCAATCACTAATTGTTCGCACTTGTAATATACCCATGAATATGAGACCAAGGAAGAACACAGTAGTGTAGCCAGATGGAATAGTATATTTGCAAGGCCGTGCCAAGACACCTGTGCGCTTGGACTAGTTGGCTAGAAGATCAATTAAAAGCAATGCAATGTAACACGATAGCGTGCCGAATGGCACAGATGCTTGACCATGTGTCTTTAGCCCAGTGAATCCGTTAAAACCATGGAGGTCAGCATCAGTGTTGAATCACATCGAACCCTAGGCTATTGATTCTGGGGGAGTGTGTGCCGCTACAAGGGATTTCAAATCCTCTGCAGTGTTGCCGCGTGAGGGAGGCACATTGGTTATTTTGCGTAGAATGCTTAACAATGCTGGGATTGAAATGGCATTAAAACCCACAAACTCGGTTATAGGGGAACATTGTAGGCTAAAAGATCAAGTGGAGTCGACTAAGAAAAATAGCCTATTACACGAAATGACATTTGATGATTGTGAGGTCAGGTACATAGGTCGGAGCAGCTGATCTGTCAGTCAGAATACCAAAGCACAAAAACTTATCAGAACACAAAATGATAGACCCATTTAAGATAAATAATTCAGAGAAACACTTGGCTATCGCTGTGTATGCACTGACCCATAATCACACTACGGGGTGGGGTAGGAAAACAATCCTAAAATCCAATAGTGCTAGGAGGAGGAAAAGACTGATCACAGGAACTTCTTTATTAAAACAAAACTTAACACATGTAGCAGAAATGATTTATCACAAACTGTAGATACCTGGAAGCGTACTACCATGAAAATAAGTGAATGGATTGTTAGACTACATGAAGGATATAAATATGAGAGATAAATTCTGCTAAAAACATCATCCGGGCAATAAGTCTGTAGCTATATCTATTAAAAAGTACAAAATGGAATTACTTTACTGTAAATTGTGCTAGTGCCCGTTGCACAGATTTTGGCTCTTGCACTCTATTGTGCCTGTGGGTATCTTTTTGTTGTCTTTAGCTACGTGTTCTGGGTTTCAGTTGCAGTCGGAATAAATTTAGTAACTAAGGCGCAGTGCGTCTATCTGACGGGTGCTAAACATGACGAAACGTGTGTCCTGTATTCCACTGCTAGTCACCAAAGTGAATGCAGCAGTATGATCATCCGGCAGTATCGAGGCCTCCGTATTGGAACATATATGACAACAGAGGTCAATTTAGTATGGGATTATACTCTATTAGTATGTCTAAGTTCTCCTCTTACACTTAGTCTCATCTCTATCTAGGTGATTACGTCACATCCATCTGTGTATGCCAATTAACATGCATGTGCGTTGACACTTTCTTATGTAGGAGTAATCAACTATGAATTCGAAACTGCTGAAACACATACTTGAATGGCTAGAAGAAAAAAATACATTTAAATATTCTGATAAATATAGGGAGCAGACAGAAGTCGTCTGTAGGTAGACATATTACAGAAACCGATCACAGAGTTGACTCCAAAGCAGCTTCTAGACTATTATATACGATGCGTCAAAACCATATGCTTAGGTTTATTGAAGCCCCGTTGTATGTTCAAAGGCAACTTTTCCTTACCTTCAACCTTCTTTGGTAATCTTTATCTAACTTTAATGCCAAGGGAGGCATGAAAAGTTATTATTCCCCACTGTTATCCTTACACTTTACAAATCTTGTATTATGTTAATTTATTACCTTTGCCCGCTGTATTCTGATACTTCATATAAAATGTCTTGACAAGTAAATGTACGACCAAACTGTTTGAAATATATTGCGGAAATACATCACATTTCTCAGATAACCTCTGTCTTCTTATGACACTATGCAAGAAGCTTGAAAGTAGATGAGTATAATTTCCGAAATTTTGTACTGCTGCCTGTGTTGAATAACCATTCGCCTAGTGCTTGCATGTACCAATGCTACATGAATTCTAGGTGGAGTGGGTGATGCTGGCATGTCAGTTACATCAGAGATGTTTGCTGTCAAGTAGATATCGGTTTGAACATTCCAACGTTGACACCAAAATGCAACGACCTCCTGTTTTTAGGTCCTTTTTTGGTGTGGCAAGTTGGACTATGCAATATATTTTCAGTGTGAGCAGCTGTTCCAGCAAAGAGGCTAGTGAGTAACATGACCACAGCAGTTATTTATCGACTAAAAACTGCAGTGACAGCTCACTCTCTAAGTCACGAAGCTCAATGCTGTAAGATATAATTTCCATGTCAAAATGCAGGCTGTACATGGAGCCATGATATTGTTAATGGTGTGGAGAAAAGTTTCCTAATACTAGTAGAGTAAGGGAAATAGGGTACACGCATTAGCTTCAAAGCTGCACCTGATGCTTGCTCGTATCTCTCTAACATAAATAAACAGAATGTAGACTATTCACTATTCTTACGTTGTTTTGTATTAGCGGAGCAACAACATAGGGAGCAGTAGGTGAACGTGAAGAAAGATTTCAGTTTACATGTACACCATTAGAGTCGGCTACGGAACCACTACAAGCTTTCTCCCTGGTTAGCAGTTTATAGCTCAACATCAGTATAGTTTTACTTAGTCCTCTGAAGTTTTACTGTTAACTAGCCTAGGATCGTATTATTAAATCAACTGTATTAATTTGAAACTTTGACACCAGTTGTTTCAGAATTACCTTAACGGAAGAGTTTGGCAGGTCGATATCATTATTTAGGGACAACATGGGTAAGTGTGGTAACATTTGAGATTGTCTACCTGATTTCACTGAAAGCAAACTGAGAATCTATATCTGAGGTTGTAAACTTGTCATCCACTTACTGTTATCACTACAGTACGTTGTTAAATTTTATTTGACATAAAAAAGCTTCTTTTCTCACTTGATAATCCACAAGCAAATACAGAAGTAGCTACAGAATATTGTGTTCAGCTTTACAAGTGAAAAGTTTTTTTATTTACTGTAAATATTTTCTTTGGATAATCAAGAAGTATCAAATACTCTTTAAAGAGTCAAGAAGAGGAGAAGGCTTAAGAACAAGGAAAGAAAAAGTAGGTACATGAACCATAAAGAAACAGATGAAGTTTACATGTTTGTTCGAAAAATACTTGTTTATTTACAGATTAGTGAACGAAAATTTCATATTCAGAAAACAAAAGGCTAGTAGTTTAGGTCAAGTTTTATCAGCCAAAAGCAGCAGTGGAGCACGTCAGGTAGGTGATTAGTGAAAAAGCTTCTTATTTTCAAATCATCTGGAAAACAATTGTTATAGAATCACAAAATAGGTCAAAACCACAGAACTAGTATGTTCTATAACCTGGCGAGCATTTTAAAGCCACTAAAAATGGAAACTTAACATGAAGAACAATAAATAAGGCTTTATATTGAAAACTAAATTTTCATGAATTACTTCAATCAACAGAATACAAAAATGAATGCAAACACCAGATTGCAAAAATTCATTTCTGAGAAATATGTCTAACCAAAGTAAAACCATTGGTAATAATTGAAAATTTGTTAAATATCGAAAGTAAACTTTCCGTGTGCTTAACTTGCATTCAAGTTTCTTAAAAATGCAAAATAGGTTATTCATTTTCTTCTTTTAATCAGTGAAAAGATAAGAGATATATACGACAGTTTGTATATTCTGCATTTATGCACTAGTCAAAGTGCCTGAGCCAATCACTTATACGATTATTCTATTTGAATTTTTATGGACAGTGTAGGTGAATCCTTTAAAGAAATAATTTTATTTAACTCAGTAGAGTTTGGATAGTAAAATTTGGCGTACATTAATGAATTATACCTAATTTGCTAATAACTATGACAAAAATTTCCACTGAAATCCTTGTTTTCAGGAGAAAAATGACTGCTCCAGTAATTAAAAGTCATTTTAGTATATATATATCCATATACTCATTTTCAGAAGAGTGTATGTATAACATTTGCTAAGTAGATCTTTATTCAAATGTTTATACCTGATATTGTTTCTGATGATTTTAAATAGATTTTTTGATGGAGTGGATAAGCAGATATGTATGTAGTTGTGTCAGTGATATATGTACAATTGCATGTGTAGATAAACTATCCTTATCGTTTGCGTTCAATGTTGTGTATCACGTAGTTGGCGACTGAGCAGATTTTGACGAGTGATAAGGTCTAGCAATTGATTCTGTACTAGGATATTATCATTTGTAGTACTCTGAGTGAAGTACTGATTTTGCTGAACAAGATGCTTATTATTCGTGTTGAACTGTTGATTTTGTGAGTTCTGTTGTTGCTTCATATGTAAGTTCAATGTGGCTGCCGCAGCAGCAGCTGACATGGCTGCAGATAAAGTTCTTGAATCGTTCATAAGTAATGGGGATAGTACTGATGCATCTACGCATCGGTTTACGTCATTTACAGATGGTGATGTTGTCATATAAGGCATAGTTGTCATTAAAAGCGGTATATTATTATCACTGCTGTTACCATTTTCACGTTCATTCTCATTAGTTCGGCCAATAGCAGAGGACCTACCATTGCTATTCATAAAGCCATTTGGTAAGGGAGGTAGTGGTATTGCTGGCGGTGAATGAGTTGGAAGGATTTGTGGTAAGTCGTACGTTTGTGAATCAGAATATCCTGTAGATGTCGGAAAATCACCGGAGCAGTTTATTGGTTCATAAGTCGCTGTTGTGTACGGCAGACGTTTCATTCCACTGAACTCATTTACTGGTGTTCCATTCCTTGTTAGAAAGTTACTTGTTGTATAAGAATTCATCAAAGTATTCGGCACAGCACCAACAGAATATGATATATTGTTGTTATTACTATCATTGCTAGGTATGTGATTATTAGTTACTGAATAGGGTGGTGACTTCAAATTTTCAGAAGCTGGTGAAAAATTACGATAGGAGTTTTCCGATGTGGTGTGGTGTAACAGAATTTTCGAACGAACTTTATAACGACTTCGTCTATGAAATCGTAGTAGACAGTATCCAAATACAAAGAAGGTTAAAGTTGCAGTGAATGTTCCAACAACAGCCCCGATCATTTCAAGTACAGAGAATTGTTTCTGTAAAATATAATAAATTTAAAGAAAATGTTAGTAAATTATATTGTAATGATTGCACTCCTGTTAATAGGAACTTTAGTTGTAATCTTGAATCACATGGCTTTACGGTAAACTTATCATATTTCATTGAACGTGGTTAAAATACTGTCTAATAAAATTTAATCGAAGTGCGTTTTTTTTGATAATTTATCACTTTGCTTGGGACTTGTTTTCGGAAATTTCTCAGCAGAAATATTTGACAGCATTATAATTACCGGGATCCGAGTTCATGTATACGAATTAAATGATAACTATAATGTGCCCTGGTTTTATTATTATTATTTATCCCTTGGGTTCATAATGGAACATAGGGCTTCAGTAGCACGTCTCCAGTGAACTATCTTCTCTGAAATCTTTTGAACCTGGCTCAACGACAGCCAAGAAGCTCTCATTTCCTCCTCGCATGACCTCCTCTATGTCACCCTCACCACGGACGCCCAACTCGTTGCTTCTCATAGGGCTTCCAGTCGAGGGCCTGGACTGGCACGCGATGTCCCCAGTCGGCCTTCTCAGTGTATCCCCAATCCAATCCATCTCCACTTCCTTCTGCATATTTGTTGGGTGATAGCTTCCTGGTTGCTTCGTTCCCAGAGTTCCTTATTGCTTATTCTTTCTGGCCATCTCAGCTTTAGTAACGAGCCAGCGTAGGGAATTGTTAATGAATGTCTACAGTTTGTTGGAAATCCCTTTCGTAACGCACCAAGTCTCTGAACCATACGGGAGCGCCGACTTGACATTGGTGTTTAAAATCCGGATCTTGTTCACACTGTATGCTGAGCGCAGTTCAGTGGATCTCCTCACTGGTTTCAGGCTAATGAACGCCTGTCTTGCTTTTCCGATTCTGACTTTGACATCCTCGTCTGTACCTGTGCCGCCTGTAGTTGAGACAGTGCTGCCTAGGTAGGTGAAAGAGGTTACTTCCTTTAATCTTATCCGGTTCGTGGTGATTGGTGGTGTTGTTGGTTGGGTATCTTCATCACCTCTGTCTTCTCTACGTTCACTTGAATAGTGTCCCGTCTTCGCTGCCCTGCTCTGCCTCTTCTGTCAACTTGTTAGTTTTCGTCTGTAGATCTTCCAGTTTGTGTGACATTAGACATAAGTCATTGTCGAAATCAAGATCTTGTAGGTTATTTTCCGCAGTCCAGCGTATCTCCTCTTCTCGCTCCTCACTGTTTTTGCATGACCCAGTCAACCAGAATGAGGAATATGGTGGGTGATAGTAGGCAACCTTGTTTTACTCCTGTCTTCACTTCAACGGCATCACTGAGCTTTCGATTGTGAATCACTTTGCATGTAGAGTCTTCATATAGTTGTTGAATGAGATTGATAAAGGTTTGTGGTATTCCGTTGTGTTAAAGCAGTTTCCATGGTTTAAGCATAGAAAAATAGACAAGCAATTACTTAGACACGCATTTTTAGTGGCATTTCAACTGGAGAATATTTTACCGGTCACTAACCGAGACAATCAGTGATTTACAACTATCACATAGAACTAGTCTGTGTTTCCGTTAGCTTACCTTTATGACACGTTTAACACCAGCTGCCTATAAATAGTAGACAGTAATTGTCAAAACCTCAGGATGATTGAAAGGCTTTACAAGTGCCCCTCAAATACTTATGTTTCAGGTTGATTACCTAATAATTAAACAAATGTATCAAATGAAATGCATTCAAAGTCTGAAGAGTAAACATAAAACTTATTTTCGATAGCTTACAGTAACAAAACATGCATTCATGTGTTTAGTTCTCAGCATTAATTTACTAAACATTACCCATGCATTCGGAACTTGATTCTATCTGAAAATTTATGGAAACAGAAACTTGCATTCATTAAAAAGTTTATCAAAAGCACATTAAAGATTAATTGACGAGGATGGATAAAGGGTACATACCTGAAACAACATATTTTCTGGATCATCTTGAAGAACTGTGTACCATCCAGGTGTAAGTTCATAATTACCCGACGAACGATCCTTATTTATCCTACTTTTATCTGCATATACATTATTTTCACCAACATCTTTACCATCATTTTGAGGAGATTTTAGTTTTGTCCGCATATTCATCGCATTAGCTGATATAATTTGTAAATTCTCAAAAGTTGGCCAGTGAAAGACTATCTCAGCGCTTGTATTCCCATTTGAGTCTGTAGCGAAGCAAATTAATTTTTCAATTGTTGATGATGACTTGAATCCATTGTTTTTTCCTTTGATTTCATTTTCATTTTTTAAGTTAATTTGTCGACTTAATTTTAATTCAATCCCACCAGATCTGAGAAGTTTTGTGTTAGGAATGCGAATAAATTGTTGGTGATCCTGTATCTGAGTAAATAAATTAGACTGAAAATTTGATTTTTGATCAGTAATAGTATCATTACTATAAAGGGCAGGACGATACCAGTCAATCTGAAGTTCTGGTGAACCTTTAACATGACATCTGACAGTTACAGTTAAAGAAGTATTGTTTTCTTCTTCTGAATTCACTGATATTTGCTTGATTCCATAATTTTGTCTACCGTAAAAGTCTGTTAACTGTCCTAAGTCAACTTCAACAACTTGAAGTTTTGGTGTACCACAGAAAAAGTCTGAAGGTGTTAGTGACTCAATACTTCTCCCTATTAATCTTTTTGGATGATGACATAATGGTTTTAACAGATCACCATCTAGTGGTGTGTTGTGTTGGTTTAATTCAGCCAGGTTATTTGCTCCGTTTGACATATATGTGCCAGATCGATCATCATCACCATCGTTAAACATTATTGAACCACGTGTACGTCGTTGTACTTGTCTTCTGTTTAAGACAGATACAAGCCAGCTTAGCTACAGTCACATTTAAACGGATTTTGTTCCAAGGATAAACTTTGTAGTTGAATGAAAATAGGTTCTAAACGACTTTCTAAAGTAATTAACTGGTTGCCTGACAAATGTAGATTTTTTAGTTGTTTGCTGTTGATCAATGGCAGGAGAGTGTCATATCTAAGGGTTTTAAGACCACACTGATTTATGGACAGTGATACAACTGAAGTACCTTCAAAAGCACCTTCTTCAATGCTTAATCCAAAGTTTTCATCTAGACGTAAAAAATCCAAGTGTAAGCCTACAAATGTACCTTTTCGGATTGATTTGACTTTATTTTGAGACAAATCTAACTGTTGTAGGCTTTTTAATGACTGGAATGTACCAGGTTGAATTGACTGTATACCACAATTCCTAAGTGTGAGACGCTGCAATTTGACATTTTGCTGCGCATATGTAGAGAAGTTATCATTTGTTAGTATTGGATTATGAAATTTATGACCCATTAATATCATGGACTGAATATCGGAGCTAAGACTGTCCGGTAAATGTGTAAGTCCACCTTCTTGACAGGACAGTGATCCAGCGATACAACCACTGCATGTTCTGTTCAAACATAATTCATTAGAACTTAGACTTAAAACTGGTTGCGATATGCAATGAAAAATTACCAGTAGCAGAAGAAATATTTTCAATGAGAATCTTTGATGGTTAGTAGAATTCATTGTTAATGTGGACGCAATAGCTGATTTACATAATCGTCCCCACTTTTCATTGATCATTGGACAGTTTTAATGGACATTGCAACCGCATTGATGGCTCCTGTATTAGGTACAAAAAGAAAAACCTTAAATTTATTAACGAAAAATATGCGGTAGATAAACAATTTAGACGCACTGATATCTTAGTGTCGGCAGATAAAGTCTATACGGTAGCTTTGTGTGATCACTAAAAATCACTACCGCTGAAAAACTTAAGGAGTGTGCTATTTCTTTCGAAGGTTTTGTAGAATAAATTACTTTGAAGTCAAACCACATGTTTTGAGGGTACTGGCTTCCGGTGTTCCATGATGATGAAGGAAGTGACTTAACGGCCATGCAGCAGACATCATGTATGAGATTCTGTTGGGAAGAAAGAATAAAAGTCTTGACATGAGTTATTCTTCCAGCGACTCATTAACATAATGCACTTGGATTTAGACATGGATGCACTAATCTTCATGAATTTGACCAGCTCTGCAGCATCTGGGAATTTATTTTACTTAACATGAGAGACTTTGGATGCATTAAAAGGATGATAGATAGAGCTATAACTTACGCCAAACTAACTGAATAAATAACTAGAACTTATTTGTGAATTGATAAACTAATGAGAGAAGTCAAGAACAGTGGATTTGAAATACTGGAATTCTTGAGTTCAACTGATCAATTTTTCAAACTGCACTTGAGTGTGGAGTCTGTTCATCTTGTATGCATGGCCGCAGAACTTCAAACCAAGCAGCAGAACTTGTAATTGAATTGTCAAAAGATTGACAGAATATATGTATTTAGTCATTTGACTGTTACTCTTTTGACAATCTAATTACAAGTTTTGCTGCTTGGTTTGAAGTTCTGCTGCCATGCATCGAAGATGAACAGATTCCACACTCAAGTGCAGTTTGAAAAATTGATCAGTTGAAGTCTTGATCTAGTCTATGTGTTGACTCAAGAATTCCAGTATTTCAAATCCACTGTTCTTGATTTCTGTCATCAATTTACTAATTCTTAAATAATTGAATAAAGTAAAACATTGAAATTGTTTTATTTCAGTCATACTGAGACTGTTTAATAAAAACTTAATCTCCATCTAATTTGCAGTCTGTTTGAAAGAAAGACTTTAAACAAATTTATGAGAAGTAGTTGGGTTGTTTATTTGACGATGTACAAATTAAGGGATACTTTTCTTTTTTTTTGTTATTTACAAAGCATATACACTAAATATAAACATAAAACAACCTGAGTTGTCAAGTTTAGTTTAACCTATTGCACGACATTTTTTCACCTAAAATAAAATGCGTTATATTAAATTTAGTCGCCAAGCGGTAACCAATATGCATCTGATTTCTAAGTATATGTAGTTTTGTGATCAAATCGTTTATATGGTCAATAGGTTTGGATTACGACTATAAACTTAAGATCTAACCTAATTTCCATTTCACTGTCGATTTGCACACATAATTCATGTCGATAGTTAACCAGTTGTAAGCTGTGTAGATCAACCGTTAAGTATAGGAATTATAAACTTAGTGACTAAGATTGTAACTTCTAAAAGAGCATATACTTCTGAAGAATACAAACATATTTTACTAATACATACAATACATTATCTGAACGGCAGATCCCAGAATCCAAAGCCGAATTACTTCAGTTGCTGTGATATATTTGAAATAGGTTTGTAGAAAATACAAAAGTATTTTTGTGATTGAATATGTGTATTTATATGCTTCAGTTTTTAAAGAGTTACAAGTCACCTTCGCGATATACTGATATATATGAGACAGAATTTTTCACCTTAGCGTAAGAAGCGAAATTCAATTATGCAGCCTGCGTTCAACTGTCCTGTGATGAAAATGAATCTTCTGAGGTGTAGAGTCTAATAAACTACAAAGGAAAAATATTTTTTAACATAGGTCTGGATATTATAATATTTCCAATGTATCTGATCTCACCTGGAATACTGGTCGAATTCAATATATGCACATTTAGAGGCGTGCTGTTGACAAAACAATATTTCTTGTCCAATTATTTCTCTAGCTGGGTTTTGTCAAATGACATCATGTAAGGCATGCTAGCTTAGTTTAGTCACTAAAGGTTTTGTGAAGTAATTCGTTTTCTTTATCTACTATAACATTAAGTTTGTTCACCATGTTGGATTCTCTGTCAGTCATGTTAGTGCTAGTGGTGATACATGGCTTCACAATACACTTTCCGGTTAAAACTCAGAATAAGGCATCTGAACACTGAGTCACAAGTTATTAATGCCATATTCTGAAATTGTAGCTTACAATACGTTTAGTATTTCCACATATCAATGTATGACATTTCAAATATAATTTATGGTTCATATTTATACAAACATGGCTGGACGTTTACAGGATTTCTATGTGAATAACCGCAGGCCTGCTGAAATGCTGCCATTAATTTTCGTGAGGTGTCTGAAAAAATCCACTAAGTAGTAACTGCTCCCAACCAATCAGCTTTCGGTACTCATGAAAATGATGAGATACAGGAATCGTAAGGTTAGTCAATAAGTGATATATCCTGTCCAGTTCGTTAATCACTTTTCCTTCTCTTCAGTGATTTATACTATCATAGTGTGACATACTAAAATGTTTGTAAACCTACCAAGTTCTTTTTAAAAATTCATTAACACACAAACACATTCTAACTGAAAAGAGATGGCTCGGTATGGTTAATTGAAAATCGGCTCAGATTGAAGTAAATATAGGTGACTAGCCGGCATAGCAACACATCACATCAGTTTAGCATGCATTCTATAACAGACACTTCAGTTAGAAAAAAACTTTTAAAACACTCGCACACACATACACGCTTACATCCTTACAGATGTATATATTATGGTCAATCACCTTCTTCTGTTTACAGGTTGTGAAAGAATACCAAGCGATAAGGCAGAAATTATCAGAAAAATGACAAAAAGGAGAGAAGACAGTCATAAGAGAAGGAATTGAAATCGACAATAGACAGTAAAATTAGACAAGTTAAAATAGTTAGTCAACCGTAAATATGCAGTATAACGGTATAAAGTATTTGCATTTAGATTGAAAAATAAATCTAAAAAAGACGATAGATGAATTCATATCATTAATTTTAAAACGAGACAGAAAAAAGTGAAAAGTATATTGATCTATTTATCAAATTAAAAGTTGAATAGACTTAATTAATTTCCTTTCCAAAAAAAAATAATAACCAGGACACTTGATTGAATAGACGACAAAGTGGGCTTGAACCAACTCACATATACAACTCAGACTTTTTATAAGTTGGTATGTGAGAGAGAAACAACCGGATTTGAGTTCGGAATAAATTTACTCACTTGTAGAAAAATGATGACTTAAAGGTGAAGATTCTACAAAACTGAGAGTATGGTCAGACAGTTTTCTAAATATCCGCAGTACTTTTGATCGGATGCATTATTCTTCTTACTCGCTACTACAGTCACAAGCTGTACTTCTGCAGCAAAGTTCAACTCAAGTCAATGAAAGTATCGCATCCTTACTTATATGTTTTTCGAGATAGTTTCATTCATTGTCCCTAAGTTATGTTAAATGTTAGCAATGCTCAATTGAAACGCTTTTCATATTCTTCTCACGTTGCTTCACGAGTAAGTAAAATAATTTACTTAGTGGATGGGAAACTTACAGTCCGAAGACGCGATAAAGAAATTTTAGAAATAACATACCACCGTTATGAAGCAACCGAAACAATAAACCGTTCTTAGCTTTGTTCCGAAACTAGTGGCACTATGAATGACAGGGATCTGCAGTCGTACAAGGCGAATACGTCAAAGCATTGTAATGAATTACTGAACAAGAATAATTTGAGCAAACACTTGTTTTCAATAACTTCTTCTTCAGGCTCTACAGTTATAAATTCATGAGAATAAGTGAAATACAATAGCTAAAATAAGGCAGGATGTACAATTTTTGACTATATAGAAACAGTCAGTGTTATGGGCGAAAAGAGATCAAATCAGATGAAATGCTGGAACTGTTGTCAATCTAGTGTGTTAGTTGTGCAATGAAATCAATATTGACAGGACAATTACTAAATTAGGAGACCAAATCTACCTATAATGATTCACTTATATACAATTACTGGGGCATGAATGTGTGTATGTGTTTGTTTACTAAGGGTAAAATAATAATTATGTAGTGATGAGTTATATTCTAGTGGGATGAAAATCTTGTGAATACTATAACGAGATAGAGAATAACAAACGGTTGAAAATGACTACAGGTTTTAGTGTGAATAAAAAGGGCGTAAAACTAATAGCATAAGAAAATGAATGTTTGTCAATGCAATGACAATATAGGAGAAAGGGATGGAAGATTAGAAAGTACAATTTGTGGTGAGAATGTTCATAAAGAACATGTTGAGGGCCAAGGTAAACAAAGTGGATGTACATATTTCTTTTGAACGCATAGGTCCGGTTTTTTGCGTTGATCTTTACGGCTTTGTCTACGGGTAAGATGCGAGGTCGTATACCTTTATGGAAACTGCAAGGAACATTGTATTTCACAGAAAAGGGGTGATCTACCTTGATTTGATGTCCAATCTCTACTTGATTTGAGGGGATTGCACTGCTGATGTTCTTCGTCATTCTTTTCCCTGACCAAGATGGTACATGTTCACAAGCATGGGTCAATAGAGCCCTCTGAGTACGGCCTGTGTAACTAGCTCCATAGAAGCAGCTGAACTCATAAATATACATTGTGGTGGCCAACATAGGTAACCTGTCCTTGGTTCGCTGTGTCAGTAATGCTTTATTAGAGAAGCTGACAAAAAGTTCCACTGCACTGAATGCCTTTTCTACTGATCTACTTAATCACTTTGTTGAGACATATGGAGAATATCACCTTTGAAACTAAGTCGAAGACATATAGGCTTCATAGCAACATTATCTTTCTTTATCTTCTCTCTAGGTTTCGACATGAGTTTATTTATGAAGTTTGGCGGATAATCAATATACTGCCATGTTACCTTCAGTTTATTCATTTCTTCTTCAATACAGTTATCAGAACAAAAGTTTCTTATTCTGTA